AGTTTGTCAACTGAATTTTTCTGCTTGATTTTTTTAAAAGTATTTCAATCTCTTTGTTAAATTTATCTGATGGAATTCTGAATTCCTTCTCTGTTAAACTGCATTTCATCAAGATGCCTCACAAAACTGCTATTTCTTTTTTTTTTTTTTTTTGTCAGAAAGGTCACCTATCTCTGTCACTACAGGATTGGTTACTGGTGATTTATTTAGTTTGTTTAGTGAGTTCATGATTTTCTGGAAGGTAGTGATGCTTGTGGATGTTTGCCAGTGTCTAGGCATTGAAAAATTAGGTATTTATTGTAGCCTTCACAGCTCAGGCTTGTTTATATTGGTCCTTGGGAAGGTTTTCTAAGTATTTGAAGGCTTGGGTATTGTGATCTAAGTCTTCAGTCATTGCAGTGTTATCTATATTAAGGGGCTCCACTCCTGTTGACTCATAGAGGTACTACCTTGATGGTCTTAGTTAAGATCTGAGATAATTCACCGGATTATCAGGCAGAATCTCTTGTTCTCTTCCCTTACTTTCTCCCAAACAAAGGTCGTCTCTCAATCCATCCTGGAGCTGCCTGGAATTGGAGGAAGGGGTGAAGCAAGCAAGTTCATTATCAATACCACTGGGACTGTGCTGGGTCCCACTTGAAGCCAGCAGAGTACTAGGCCTCACCCGAAGTCTCCGGTGACTATTGCCTGGGTACCAGTGATGTTTATTCAAAGGCCAAGGGTTCTTTAGTCAGCAAGTGGTGGGAGAGAGCATCCTGCCAGGCCTGGGTCTTTCCCTTTAGGGCAGTGTGTTCCCGTCTGGCCCAGGGTAGGTCTAGGAATGCCATGCTGGAGCTATGGCCTGGCACTAGGAACTTCAGAAACCTACTTCATGCCATATTTTACTGTGGCTGAGGTGGCACCCACATTGCAAGCAATGTCCTTTTCACTCTTCTCTTTCCTTTTCTCAAGCAGAAGGAGGCTCTCTCTCCATGGCCACCATCACCCCAAGGCCATGGCAACCACAGCCTGGCTACTGCTGATGTTTATTCAAAGTCCAAGGGCTCCTTAGTCAGCAGTTGGTGAATTGTGCCAGACCTAGGTCTCTCCTTTCAGGGCAGTGGGTTCCCTTCTGGCTCAGGGAAGGTTGAGAAATGACATCTAGGAGTTAAGGCCTAAAACTGGAGGCTTTAGGAGTCTGCTTGGTGCTTTATTTTACTGTGGCAGAGCTGATCCCCGAGTTGCAAGATAAAGTCCTTTTCACTCTTCCCTCTGCTTTCCTCAGGCAGAGGGAGTCTCTTCTCAGGGCCAGCATGCATATCTGGGGATGTGCTGGGTCACAACTGAAGCCAACACAGTTCTGGGTCTCATCAAAGGCCTGTGGCAATTGCTACTTGGCTACTTTACCTCGGTCATTAGGTAAAGAATTCTGCCAGGGCTGTGTCCTTCCCTTCAGGGAAGCAAGTTCCCTTAAGGCATAGAGTGGGTCTAGAAACGTCCTCTGAGAGCTGGGGCCTGAAATAGGGGCTTTAGGTCTCTGCTTGCTGTTTTATTTTACTGTGGCTGAGCTGGTATCCAAATTATAAGAAAAAGTCCTCTTCACTCTTCCCTCTCCTTTCTTGCGTACCCCACGTCCACTGGCTCTAAGTCCAGTACGACACCAGGACTTGCTCAGGAACTGCAGTCCTTGTGGCCTAGACTTTCGAATTTATCTGGAACCCCAGGGTACTTTAGCGTGCAGTGCTGGGTCTAGCTAGAACTTAGGTTCCGAATGCTGGGACGGGCAATACCCCTCTGGCGAGGGCTGGGCCAAAGGCTCTCTTTGTGGGTGCTCGCTGAATTCTGCCCATGTTGCCTTCTGCTGTGACAGGGCAGCAATGAGTTCCAATGCAAAGTCCCACAATCACTGTGCTTTCCCTCCCCCAAGCAAACAGATTCTCTCTTTCCACGTCCTACGTGGTGCTGCCAAGACGTGGGAGAGGGTTGGTGTAGGGAATTCAAGATTGTCCTTCTCACCCTCTTCCGCGCCTCTTTGCTTGAAACAATGTTAAAATGAGGTGCTGCGACTGCTGACCTCATTTCCGGTTCTTACGAAGGTGCTTTCTTGTGTGGATAGTTGTTCAATTTGGTGTTCCTGAAGGGAGGACAACCGTTGGAGAGTTCTATTCAACCATCCTGCTCAAATTTATATTTTCTATTCCCTCAACTGGTTACCTCTCCTGGCTTTGCTATCCTCAGGAATAATACCACCAGCATTCTTCCTATTGTTCAAAGTGAAACCTTACATTTTCCCTTCTTTACTCCATGTCCAAACAGATCCTGAGTTCCTTCACTACAAGGGCTTCATAAACTTTTTCTATTCTACTGCCATTATTTTAGTTCATGCCCTAATTATCTTTTAGGTGTACTGCAATTTCTCATAATTAGTATCTGTACTTCCAATCTCTTTCCTCATGAAAGCTCCCTTACACACTGGTACATGAGAAGTTTTACTAAAGCCTACATTTTTATCAAGTAGCTCCCTAGTCAAAAACCTGCAGCAATTCACTATAAAATCATAGAAAAAAGACTAATTAATATGGCATTAAAATCTTCTATTATGTGATCTCCATCTATGTTTTCAGCTTTATCTCTTAATACTTCTTTCTATAGTCATCATTCTCCAATTAATCCATTGTACTGTCCATTATCTAAGAATAGTCTATGATTTCTAATAGCTGAAATGGCTTTCTTCATTTTTTCCTGCTATAATCTTGTTCATTTCCCAAATCTAGGCTTAAAAGTCTTTGTCTTAATCTCAGTATCTCTCCCCTTCTCCCCTGCCATTTATTTTTTCATTTTTCTTGTCCTTTGTTCTCCCATGGAACATTCTTGCTCCTTGTTCCTTTTCCATTTATTGCATTAAGACTTACATCACAGTTTGGGTTTCATACATTTCTTTCCCTCTACTTAAGGGTCAAGGACAGTGCTGCAAAGATATAACAAAGGTTGCAGTAGATACCAGGTATTCTGTAAATGTACTTTGGTATGATTATATTACACTACCAAGTATAGAAGGGTTTAGTCTAGGAGCATTACTTTAGCACTCTGGAGGTGAGAAGGATCACATACAAATTGCTACGTGTCTAGTATTTGTTTGGATTTTTTCATGGAAACGAAGAGGACATTTGTTTCCCAGAATAGTACTGTATTCTTTAGTGTAGATAACCCATCACATTGATTTATTTGTAGGCATAAAGAGACAGACAACACAGCACATTCTGTAGGTTAACTGGGGCACATTTGTGCTATCTGTCACAACTACAGCCTCCTCTCCTAGATGCTCTGATGTTATGTGGAGCTGGGTGGGAAGAAAGTAGGGAACCATCTCTCTCTGCCCTCAATGTCATGAGCAGCACACGGTGGTGACAGATGCTGCAGGCTACTTACACCAAAAAGCACTGGCTCTTTTCTTCTTACTGTCAGAGTAAAATTCTGTCTGGGTGTCCTCTTTACCAAGGGATGTCTTCCTGAGGCTCGGGGGGTCATTCCTGATTAAGCCACTCATGGTAATAATCATTTTTCTTCCTAGAAAATTTTTCTGGGAGATGTAAGACCCAATTTTGGTCAATAAAATATGAAAGAAATTTTGCTAAAGAAGTAGCTTCACTGTTGAAGAGATACACAAAAAAATCTGTCTGCATTTTGTTGTGTCTGAAGGTGGGTGACACTTGGAGTCATGGCTCTTATCTAATGATTATTAACAGGGGCCACCATTTGGACATTGCTGGCACCCTGAGAATTGAAAGCAAAAAGAATGAACTGGGGAACCTGATACTGTCACAGTGCTGGGGAAACTAGACTTCAGGATTTTTGTTAAGTGACAAATACATTTTCCTTATTATTTGAGCCAGCTGAGTGGGAGGGTTTCTTTATTGTAGCTGGAGACACCCTGACACACAGGACTTCATGTGGGCATCAGGCACCTTGCTCAGGTGGCAGATGCTAATCACTGTTAGGGCTTCAGGGGACAAGCACATTATTTCTACTGCCTGCTGGAAAAATTGGGCTGATCTGTTGCTAGGTCCTGAATCTGTCATTTTTTTTTTCATGGATCTAGTAACATGTCTTTAAAATATACTGTATATTTCCTTTGTAATAATATCAAACTTACAATGACTAATGTTTATCTCCTGTACTAGTTTAAAAGCTCTCTGAGGGCAGTGACTGTATCTGCTAGGAGATTCCTGTATTTACAGTAATTAGCTCTGAGTCATCACAGAGGTGTTCGGTAAACAGGTACTCAGTAAGTATCTGTAAAATGCATGAAAGAAAGAGTAAATGAATACACAGAGAACATCAAAAACATTCTTCCTGGTTATTTCTATTGCTCACATTGCCCCTGCCTTGTCTTCTTCCAATTCAGGCCTACAAAGGTATGCCATGTCTTGAATTTTAGGGGAAGAAACAGAAAAAGGAAGGAAGCTATCATTACAACTATTGTTGCTCTCTCCCACTGAGTGGAGGAAAGGAAACAAGTCTCAGAGGTAACTTACAAAATATTTTCATAGAGTAAAACTACAGCCGTATCCCATATTGCTTACTGGATCTAAACAGCATTTAAGAAATGTTATTTCAGAAATGTTCAGTTACACTTTTTAAAGCCTGGTCCCCTAAGTCCAGAGCCTCTGCTATTGTCTCAGGAGACTTCATTTACTGTCTTCTGTGTTGGTGGATGTGGGGACCTGAACAGCAGGGCTCCGTATTGAAACCTTCAAGACAGCAAGATCCACAGCTCTTTCCTTTGATGTGAACCACGTCTGCACTAACCTCTGTTTAAAGCCAAAATGAAGCTTAGGAATAATTCAGTATAACTGAGCTGAGCAAAGATTTATCCATCAACTGTTTCAAGTTCCTCATTTTTCAGATGAGGAAAATCAATGTTTCTGTTATCAAGATCAACCTTAGTCTTTTTTTTTGTCCTATAATATAATAAAGAAGTGAATGTGGACAGTTATATTCACTTGTAACAAAAAGGATATTTCCCTGGCAATGCTGTTCCAACTCGGTAGTCAGTGTAGCTCTTGCTTGGATGGAAGTTGAAAATGAAAAGAAGACCTGCTCTTTCAAAAGCAATGATCTTATTGCCTTCATGTTTTTCACTCACATAGGCCTGCAAGAATTAATACACGTGTTACATTTAAATAATATCTAGATGCTGCCACAAGTACCTTATTTTTCGTCTTTCTCAATAGTCTGGTTATTAAACCCCAAATAAGTGTTTCAGAACACTATATTTTTTTGAACATGTTACAATTTTGCTATACTTAACTGTGAACCAAGAACAGTCTCAAAAATTGCTTAGTGTTGTATACAAAGCTCACCAGCCACTTGCCGACCTCATAGCTCAAACAGAGAACTAGTATTGTGGCTCAGGTTTTAAGTAAAACCATGGTACCCATACATACTACAAAGTGTTTGTATATATTAGATCTAATAAGTGAATTTTCTTTAAGACTTCTAGTCTCCAGCTTAATGCGGTTAGGTATATAAAATTACTTTTCAAAATGTAATGTAACATTGTTATTTTAATGTAGTTTCTGAAATTATAGCTCTCTTAACCATTTTCCATTTTTACCCAACTTTGTCAGATTCAATGGCAACCTAAAGTCAATTACAATACTTTTTTTCTTAATAAAAAGATAAGGTCTGAAAAGAAATTATATCTGTAAACTCTCTTCTTTTATTCATCATCATGTATTTTCAGTTGGCTGTGAAAAGCCTTTGCTTTTCCAACTCCATCCTCACTCAGCCCGAGCTCTGAGAGGACTTATTGCTGTGCATGTCATCAGCAGCAGCACTCTTGGTAATTTAGAATGTGAACTAAAGCTCTAGAGTAAACGGGGTGCCTTTTGGTATTCAACACTGTTCCTATTGAAAAGGAGCATCATTTTGCTCTCTCTTCTGGAAACAGCATTTCTAATAAACGTGATTAGGGCATTCATGTCATGGAGCAAATCTTACTGAATATATAAATACCTTTGCTCAGCCATTAAAAAAAAAAAAAAAAGAATCATAGACACCAAAGTAAAAACACATCAACAGTAATTTCAAACAGCCCCAGTATAAAGTAAATGGATTATAACAAAGACATATTACATGTTAATTTTTGCCAAGAAAAAAGAAGCCTGTATAAAATTTTCACTTGTTAATTACATTTTCTAAAATTTGTTGAAAACTGAGACGTTAATTCCAGAGGACAGACAGTCTCATGAAAAACACAAAACAGCATGCGGGTATAATGGCATCTATTGAAATTACAAGTTAGAGACCAGTAAAGAAGAGAAAAAAAAAGAAATAAAGAAATCTACATGTTGTCAAAGTAGTTTCTTTATGACAGCATAATTATTTACATAAAAAAGTGGTCAAAACAATTAAGATGTTTCCACAGCAATTTCCAAAATGGGTTCCCTGCAGAACTTTTATTGTTTATTTTCACCAATAAAAATACAAATTACTAAATTTAAACAGTAACAACAAACAAACCAGGAAACTAAGCAGGCCATTATGTTTAAGATTTTCATTATCAATTGGAGAGACTTCAGTGGCATGTTTTGACAACCTGAAGTATGTTACAGGACACTACACACTGAATAATAAAATGCTGTTTAAAAGACCTGCATATGGATTGAAACCGGTTGCCATTCTAAGTATGTTCATCACTGGTGACTAAAACACAGCATTCAGAGTAAAGAGCTTACCTGTGGAGCTGAAAGCCAACCACATCTTTCTTCCAATCTATTCATATCCCTGTCAAAATTATTTAGGAACTTGTAGCGAAGAAGGTCATCATCAGTTAAATGAAACTGCCGTCTGGCATAATGGTAACTCTCATTATTTCCTTTTCTTGGGAAGTCTAACCATTCAGGATGCCCAAATTCATTACCTGCATTAAAACACAAATGTAAATGTCACCTTGTAATATTAGAATTTCTTACTAGTAATAAATCAATAATTATACGTTTTTAATGTTTTTAAAATTCAGTTTAGGCTATCATTTACTAGTCCTGTGTCCTGCGAATGATGTACAGGTGTAGCTCAAAAATAGCATGGTCTAGCACAGAAAGAACCACATTTGGACTCAGAAGCCCGGGGTCCAGCTTCAGTTTGGCTGCTCATTACTTGTGGCACATCCGGTTTCCTCAAGCACAAACTGAAGACAATTATTGATGCCATACTTATTTCATATCTGAAACAATCTCTGAGATCTCAGAGTAATTTCTGAAATCTCGATTTCTATAATCTCTGAAATCTGTACAATGCTTGACAATTTCCAAAGGCTTTGTATGTAGGTTATTTTTTGATCCTCAAAGGAACTCTCTATTATATTCATTTCACAGACGAGAAATCCAAAGCTCTGGCCGGTTAAAAGACTCGCCCAGCTTCACACTGTGGGAAAGCAACCATTAAAATTGAGTTCCTCCCAATAAAATCCAGTTTTTCCTACCACATCACATTAGGCAAATACCCTATAAACTTCAGCTGCTAAGGAAACTCAAGCCATTACTTTTATTATTAACTTTCCATATTTCTTTTTCAGATCTATTTGTTACTACTAGATATGTACCTTTCATTTCAAGTGTGCCCGAATGCTTACGCTTATTCTTCTGTGTGTACAGCTGAGAGCCCTGGCTGGGGATCTATATAATATTATCTCTCACTATAATGATCAGAACCAGGAACCCAATAAACTTAAAAAATAAAATAAAACAGTAACTATACGTAGTTTCAATTCTGAGAAGCAATTTTAGATATTAGTCATCTAACCAATTGGTTCTTATTGTTGCCCTCAAGTTCCATCTCTACTTTAAGCCTTCTTTTCTTTCCCTAAAAATTAAATGCTACTTTCCAAAATTTTCTTTCATGTGCTACAATTAATTATTGCTGTGATTTTCTAATTAGTGCTACAAATTTCTAATTAATGCTGCAAATTTCTAATTAATGCTATAAATTTCTCCAATGAGTTAGAAAGTATCATAGCCAATACAAATGTGTCCTACTTCAAATAAACTGCATAGTAATATTATAATAAATAAAAACTAATAAGCTAGGATGTAATTCAAAATAATTTACTGCAGAGGTGCTTTAAATAGTGAAGTTTGCTAAGAAATTCTGCAACTTACATTTAACTTTTCAGGACCACATTCATCCAAACAAAAATATCATCCAAATAAGTAAGTGTATAGCAGTTTCTTAAAAATTAAAGGGTCTACAAACATTTTGCTTAATTCAAATTTCAGTCTAAATGATGTTTCTTATGATGTTGTCCACAGCATGTCATAGCAGAGAGCCGACTTTATGAGGCTATATTTACTTTCGGATGCTTTAAATTGACACGAGGAATGTCCCTCTGCTGTATTTAAAGGTCCTGCCTAGGTCTAAAGTCTGATTCACATCAGCCCAAGGTATACCCATGGCATAGCTTACTCCTTCAACCATGAAACTAGCAAAATAATGTACCTCCGGAATTGCAACTGGAGCAATCTTTACTGATAATGAAGGGACTTCCAGTCTGGGAACAAGTATATGTCCACATACCAATCCAATGACTAGTGGGATTTTAACTAGTCGGTGATTTACGAGAGACTAGAAATGCCATGAGGTAGAGATAGTATGTTAGCCTACAAACTGGATCCAGGCTTCCTATAGGCAAAATACTTTTTTGGGGGGACAGCCATGGATCTCTGGGTTGATCCCAGTATTAATAAGCAATTCCTTTAGCCCTCTTCCATGGAGACTGTTACATCATTGTCATCATGATGACAGTAGAAGCAGCAGCACAATGAGCAATTCCTTTAGCCCTCCTTCATGGAGACTGTTACACCATTGTCTTCAGGATTATAGTAGAAGCAGCAGCACATGCTTAATTTCTGTTTAATACGTGCCAGGCACCATTGTAAGCATTGCACATGAATTAACCCTATCTTCGACAATTGTCTAAGGTAGGTAATATTATTATTTCAATTTTACAAATAAGGAAATGGAGGCACAAAGATGTTACACAGTAATTAAGAAGTTGGGCCTTGTGAACCAGACAGTCTGGTTTCAGCCCCTGACTCTTAATTACTACTATCGCATGTTGTGCCCAAGTAAATTCTATGGAAATCCAGGGCCAAGAATGACCAACTTCTCATACCTGGACAGAGATTCCAAATTAGTGGAATGACATGCACAAATGTATCAGAGTGAGAAAGTGAGATGTAGTGAAAAGTTTAGTTTAGCCACAAAATAAGACTTGCGGTAAGGAGATAAAGCAGGACCATTAGGATGAACTGTATACATTTTGTACCTCATATTGCAGGCATTAGGGAATCAAAGGCTATTTTAAAGTAGGGACATGAGAATTTCAAATGTGTTTATTATTAAAATATTTCTGGTACCATGTGGAAAAAAGACTGGATACCAGGGAAAGCTGAATGGTAGGAAAACCAGTATGGAATCCAGTGTAAAACAGATGATGAAATTCTGTGGAAATAGAGAAAAGAATGATCGATTCAAATGGCATTTCTGAGATGGAAATAACAAGATTTGATGACTGACTGACTGAATAGAGACAGTGAGGAAAAGGAAAGTCGGAATGCAACTTTGAAGTTTTGAGTTCAGGAGGCTGAGTAGTGACAGCGTTAACTACACTAGAGGAAAACGGTGACAGAAAGTTTGGGGTAAGAAGATAATGAGTTCAATTTTAGGCCTGCTAAATTTAAGACGTGAAGGATACATCAGCATCTGTAGATTTAGAAGAATGATAAAAATAAGGTACTGAAACTTGAGAGGGAATTGTAGGTGGGGAGAGAGAGTAATTTATAAAGCCTCAATAAGCAAAGATAATGAGAGCCACCAGAGAAAAAAGGCCATGGCCAGCACACCAAGGAACTGAAGACAGAGAGAAGCCATGTTAGGGAAGACTGAGAGCAATGGTTAGCAGGGTAAAGGGGACATTAGAAGAAAACATAAAAGGCTAAGAAGAATCCCAAGGAGGGTGGTCAGTAGCATTAAATGCTACCAAAAACTAAAATCATAAATAAGAACTTGCTACACGATCTCCCCTCTGATGCAGAAATAAGCTGGTGTAAAGCTATGCTTTTCAATCTATATTACATTCCAGAATCACCAAGGAAGGCTGTTAAAAATGTTCCCCCCCTACCCCCAACGATATGGATACATTACTTCTGGAGTGATTATTAGGCTGGAATCTATATTTCATCAACTTTTCCGTAATATTCTGAAAGTAGTCAGTTACACAACATGATGCCCATAGATGCAGATTCCCACGTCAGCAAGACTTGGGTTTAAATCACAGCTATGCCACTTACGAGTGATGTGAATATAGGCAATTTAATCTCTCCAGCGCTCAGTTTCCTGCTCAGTTTCCTCATCTATAAAATCATCATTCTGAGGAGAGAACCAGCTGCCCATACAGGTAACAAGGATGAATCCAAAGAGTAGCTAGCTATTTGGCTCTTCTTCATACATGTTTTCATGGAATGGCCTTATTCCTTTCTTTAAAGTGCTGAAGTTCTGCACAGATGCGTTTATTCATATTTTAATAATACAAACACATATCCCAAAGTCAACTATGAATGTGCTTTGAATCACCTACAGTTTTAGATCTTAAATGACAGAATTGAAAATAAAAATAACGTTGTTACAAGATACCCAGACTGATAGGGTAAATCAGATAACTATGTTAGGAATCCTATATCCACCCTCATGGAAGCTAGAACACTCCTGGCACCTGCTGACCTCCCTAACTCCCGTTTCTTCCTAGCCTGCTTGAAAATGTGACCTGAGGTCACACTGTTGCTGCTTGCTATCTTTACCAACTGCCTTGGGTAGATTAATGAGGTGAAAACAATAAATTCATTTTCACTGTACAGTTTCGCTTGCTCTTAGTATCTTGCCTTGGTAGTGGAGTTTTCAATAGTAAAGAAACGAATGGTGAGTTTGACTAAAACTATCAGAGGATGGTATTAACTCATCCCACAATCTGATTAAAAGCTAAGTAACTGCTCCCCAGGAAAACACACACACAGACACACACACACACACACACACACACCATGATACAGCCTCAGAGGGTCCATGGACTCCATAAAAATGTGAAATTACATTATTATTTATTTCTAACATTCCAGTGTGAAAAATGCACATGCTTATAATCTACAGCATAAATAATGGTGATGGGCTGCAAGTTGCCCCCTTCCCCCCACCCAAATTCATATGTTGAAATACTGACTCCTAATGTGATGGCATTTAGGTGACGGGGCTTTGGGAGGTGATTAGGTCAGGAGGGTTGAGGCCTCATGAACAGGACCAATGTTGTTATAAAAGAGGCCCCAGAGAGCTCCCTTGTTTCTTCTGCTATGGAGGATACAGTGAGAAGACAGCCATCTGTGAACCAGGAAGCAGGGCATCACCAGACATCAAATCTGCCAGTGCCGCGATCTAGGACTTCCCAGCCTCCAGACTATGAGAAATAGCTTTTGTTGTTTAAGCCACCCAGTCTATGGTGGTTTGTTACAGTAGGACGAACAGACTAAGATAATAAGGACTAAGGACTGAAGAGTAGCAAAATTACAATTAACTAGGTAAGGCATGTAAATTATTTAGAAGCATATAAGATACATGGTATGTGCTCAATAAATATTGACTTCCATTATAATGTTTTATTTTTCTTTTATTTATTAATTTATTAAGTAATCAACACAGAAATATTATTAAAAATCACAATTACACACAGAGATGTTACAAAATAATCTGTTTTACTCTTGATAAACATTGTATTTATTTTTGTCTATATCCACATCTGTATATTTATATCTGTATCTATAGTGATACCTATACATAGATTCGTACCTATCTACCATCTACTGACAACTTGTTTTT